TTTATATTCGGGAGGCCCTGGGTTCGAATTTTAACCATTTCCTTCTGCATCATTCCCAATTCATAATCGAAAATTATCTTACCATTTGACGCTATACAACCTATGCAGTTGAGAAAGTGTGATTAAATAAAGCAATAACCAGGCAAATATGACAACAAGTTGTAATTACTGAAATATGACATTTATTGAATCCATTTCTTAGATTGAATGCTTTCAAGTGGCCTTTTAGAATGTGACTTCGACAAGTTTTGATACAACTTGATTTAAATAACATGGACCTATTTAACACCTATTAGTAATTCTCAAGACAAAATTAGTCTTGCACCGGTAGTGTTAGAGCATTTATGGACGTGTTTATTTGTTCTTAATAATTTACTCACGGTGGTCTAGCGATTAGAACGCTGGCCTTGTAATCCTGGGGTCTCGGGTTCGATTCCCGGCGGTGCCTGAATTTATAACTTGTGTTGGGCAAGGCCGTGGTCTAGGCAACACGGAGTTTTCCTCCGTCGCATCCCAACAATTACTCCATTCACACACAGAAGAAGGCAATGGCAAACCACTTCTGGATCATCTGCCAAGAACGTATATGAACAGGTCCCAGTCCGAGAAAAGGATGGAAGGATCCTGTTCATATGGACCTGTCGTCATACAGAACACTAAATAAAATAAAAATAATTTACTGCTCATAGGTTATTAATCTCTGCTCAGTGTCTCCTATGCAAGAATCTCATACCAAACCTCATGCCTACTTCAGGACTGTCATGTGAGTGACTTCTTTCCACTTTGCGTTCAAACGCATAAATTGGTTTCTGAAGGGGGGGAAGGCTTCATTAAGTTTTACGCGTGAATTGCCAAGAGAGGGATCCGTAATGATAGACGAGCTGCAACGTATTGATTTTTCATCTCCCACGGATTAAGCCTTTCAACTAAGAATTAATTCTAAGATAATGAGTGTCCTCAGAGAGCTGCAGGACTTCTTAGATGGTACAACAGACCGTTACAATACTCGCAACATCACTAGTCATCCATTACTAGACCCAGCAAGTTGTTGAAGCTGGTACTGGCTTTGACCGTGGGCGCTATACGAGTAAGTCCCCGGGAGCACAGTCCACTCGTAGACCACATACAAAAATGTAAACATTTGTCGAATTACAGTGTGTTACCAAAAGATATTTACACACACAAGTTAATATTCCATATTATAATGTGTCTACAACTTTTTTGGGACACTCTATATTTTGCGGCACCTTCAAACAAATAGTTACAGCATTTTAATTGAAGTTACTCGGAGCTTTATTGCAGGTAGTAGGAAGTTTGGTGAGCGACTGGTAATGCTTATATTGTTAGATTCATATAAGCCTAATGGCAGGGAAAAGGCACACACTTTATCTCAATCTGGGGGTCTTTTTCCTGCGACATTTGGTTTTCAGTGCGATTTGCACAAATTGAAGAAAAAAAATTCAAAAAATTCAAATTTTAAACTCATTTACCCGTGCTACTGTTGGTTGTTAAAACTTCGATATTTTTCATATAGTCTATTTGTCTAAAATCGTTAGACCCACACATTGTGTATTTTCAAAATACAGACCTATAACCTGAAGTGTTTAGGCTTTTAAAATTTTATGAAATTAAAAGAGCAACGTGCACGAGGAATAATGTGGATTAAGATGAGATTTGAAGTTCTCACTGTGAAGAGTATCTTATTGTCTTCATAATCAGGGTATAACTCCACCAGTTCTAAACGTTGGCAGTAGATGGAAATGAGTAGTCAGCTGCATGTCCTGGCCACATTAACCCTGAAACTCACTAAATAATACGCTGATTGGGCTTCAGATTTCAGTGTCTCTGGGAAGGGGGGGCGTATACCCCGATACCCTGGCCGTCCAGCTAGTAAGTAGTCTGCCTAGTTACTATTTTGACAGAGCTGTTCGATTCTTCATCACAGCGTGGTGCTTATCAGGCACGGGGTTTAGCGTTACGGTGTGTATGGGAACAAATTTATCGTGAACAGAACTTTACAGAAATACAGCTTCGGTTAGGAACATAATTTTACATGTTGATTTGGGAATGGTGCGGAAGGCAATGGTTATGACAATATTTCTCTGGACAAACTGTGGAAAACGAGAAAAACGGTCAGCTAGGATGTCCGATTTCCGGGCACAGGAAATGAGATGTATTCTCCAAAACATGAAATCCTAGCAGTTTAACTGCAATGTTTACAGCCGATATTCAAAATCAAGAACAATCCTTAATGTAAGGCAAGTTCTCTACCCCTGAGTCGAATCAGATTAACCTGAGGTCTGTTGTTCGTGATTCGATCATCAGTTGCGGACACAATATAAAGTATTTTGGGAGAAGTGTGCGTGGAAGGATACGAGTGGGTCATTTTGAAACATGTTCTTTACGAGTAGAAGTTACTTCGTAGACCCTAAACGTACACTGAAGTTCACCGATCTCACAGAAATCTCAGTCGCCACGGTTGGATCGTGGTACATTAGCAGGCCTACGTACTGTTCTGGTTAATTTTCATTGACCGTGGAACCACCCAGCCTTCTACTCACTAGACTAGAGGCTCTTCCTCGAATGTAAGGCGGACGGATCGTGAAGCTGAAGACTTCTACAGCAAGTGTCGGGGTTAGGAATGAGTGGAGCTTTACCTCCGCGCCCTCATACCTTGTTTATGCTCGTGGCGGATAGAAGGAGGAACCAATGACATGTTGAGCAATTTCTATTTGCAGAGTTCTGCAGCAGACTATCCCCACAAAACGAATGACGTTTGGCCTGTCGAGTGAGTGATGTCACGTGGAAATTAAGTAGCTGGGATATTTTGATGGGTGGCGCATGGGCGGTGTGTAGCCCCACGTGGACAACCCACGGTCGTGATTGGTCATTTCCGAGTCACGTGGGTTCGAGGCGGGGGTGCGGGAGGCTGTCTGCTCCTAATTGAGTGAGTAACAGTCAGATAATCACTCTTGCCCCTCAGTCAGAGTTGGTTTCGGCGATGTGGAGGGTGGAATGATGCTCGTGCGGCGAGAGCACTGGCTCGCTGGTGGGGACGTAACTAGACCCAAACTCAAGGCAATCCACTCCGAGCAGGCAAGCAGGCAATCCACCCAAGTAGTCGTATGCGAAACGACGTTCGTAGGAGGACGATGGCTCCAGCCAGCGTGTTACTTGTCGCCCTGGTGATGTCGGGAGCCAGAGGCTACTACGAGACGTGGGGGATGCCTGGGACCCGGTCCACGCAGCCTACCTGTGTGGACATTCCACGCAACATGAGTCTGTGTCACGGGATAGGCTACAATAAGATGCGACTTCCGAACCTGCTGGACCATGACACGATGGCAGAAGTCTCCCATCAGGCGAGCTCGTGGGTGGCCCTCAACAACATCCGCTGCCACCCCGACATCCAGCTGTTTCTGTGCTCCCTCTTCAGTCCCGTCTGCCTCGATCGCCCGATTTATCCGTGTCGGAGCCTCTGTGAGAAAGTGAAGCAAGGCTGCGAGGGCCGCATGACGATGTATGGCTACCCCTGGCCGGAAATGTTCAATTGCAGCAAGTTCCCGCCGGACAACGACATGTGCATCGCCCCACAGTCCAAGTTCGACCCTGAAAGCGGTGAGTACATTTGTGTTTTGTGTGGGCCCAAGAGCTGAGGCAACATGAACACGCGAATTTTGCTTCAAAAACGGTAACAACAAATTCATTTGGAAATTAGAAGAGAATATCGAAGGTTTGGTGGTAGGAATCAGTGGTGTTTTGAACTGAGTAGCTCGCAGACTTTTTAGTTTCTATCACTACTAGACAGCGGTTAGGGATTGGACACCCCTAGACATACCGGTATTGAATGCAGAGGCAGCTGTCTCCTCCAGCAACGGGGTGATAGAGTGAAATGAAGTGACACGTCTCGCCTGTTGGCACTTCAAGGAAGAGGGGCATTTTGCATGCTTCGTGTCCGTAACTATATGCAATTAATTATTAGTCAAGAACTGTCGTCAGGCAAAATTCATCCGTGGACATTTCGTTTTAATCTCACCGTATCGAATGTAGAGGCCAAATGCTTTTTACTTCTGCTTCGTATTCGGGAGATCCCGGGTTCCAGTCTGGGGCCAGAGACCGGTTTTCCTGCCAAATATCTCGCTAGAATCTCAAATTAGGCATCATCCACTTCCTTCCATATAAACAAATAACCTTTCTGAGACACGTCTGTTCAGCATAATTATCTCAGTGAGACGGGATGTTTGGATAGCACGCTGCTCACACACCTTCAGCAAACGAAATTCAAATGCAGCTGTCGTCAAATAATGTCATTTGAAACCCGTGTCCTTGTTTCGTATGGCGCCCTATAAACGTCTTTGAATATTTTGGCATGCCTAAAAAATCTGGAGTCAACCTGGAGGACAGGTTCACTGAGGTCTCACGCCGGATGCTTAATTAAGTCGGTGGTTTACAAATTCCCAAAAGTGAAAACAACACTTGATCTTCAATAGTTTTTCAGTTATAGGCAATTTATTTACACGAAGGAATTCTGATGAAGGCACCGTAGTTATTTGTGGGTTTTATGGATCAATATACAAACAGTTGGTACATGACACAAAATACGAAACTACATTTATTTTACACTTTTTCTATGTGGATAATAATTAACGAAATAATAGACCGACAAGCTTGGTTGTTAGACAGCCAACATAAACATCTTAGGAAAAGATGGACTATATATACCTTTGCATATCTTGATTTCTAGTGTTCTGTAAATATGACACTGTAACAAAGAAAAATTATCTAGCGAAGAAAAAATATCTCTGATCCCACACGCATCCCGAGTTGCGCCAGTGTGCTACGAACATTTAACTTTGCTAATGGCAGAAGCAGCGTGTCTAATTGTGATGAATGCCTTGCATCGTGTCAGTCACAAGAAGCTTCTTTCTTAGACTCCCACACAAGCAATAAATTATTCATGGCTGGGAACAGGTCTAACTAGGTGCATGAAATAAAGTTTGCCCCTCAGCTCGCCTGCATTAAGCAGGTTACAGAGCTTTGCTTTTCATGGTCACGTATCAGATTCAGATATCTTAAAAGCGAAGAAAAAACAAACAAACGAGCGATCATGAGAGCTTTTTTAAAACGCGAGCGATCAAGTTAGTGCAGCGTTAATGATCCAGACTTGTATTCCGGAGATACGTGCTTCGAATGTCGACCGTGCTAACGGCTGTACTGGCTGAGAATTGTCTTGGGTTTCTTCAGTACCTCCAGGAAAATTCCAGTATATCAGGCTTTTTTCAAGTTTTATATATCTGTTCACTTTATCTTCATGACGCATTTATGCCGTTATGACGTAACACGTAGGCACATAAGCAACACTTAATCGTAAGTAAATTTAGAACACAGAACATCCGCAGGAGGTATCGGACCTCCAGGTTTTCGATACTCGGGCTACAAGATTAAAGTACTTCTTGGTTGGATTCCTAGCTCGGCTGTTCTGGTTTTTCTTGTTTCATTTTACAGTATCTCCGGCTAAAACGCCGGTGAAAATTCCTAATGGCCTCCATCTACCAATTCAGGATCGTAGCTTTCATAGACCCTCAAGACTGCTGGAGGCCCAAACCTTCCTCTGGCTTCGTTTCGCTAAGGAATCAATAGATAGGTTAACACGCCTTCAAATCTCCCTGTCGCCCCACTTTTGTTTCCTTCTACCTCATTTCTCACGATTCCTCTACGTTTCACCTGAGTAAACTATCTCAGTTGTAATTCCAGGACTCTTTGCAAGTTTTCTTTTCATTGTTTCAACATGTAAAAACCACTGTAATCGTCTTGAGTACAACTGCTTTAACTCTTTGAAGTCAAAGCTTGTCTCAACAATAATTAAGCTATACATTCCGTCCATATCGCAAAGAAAACAAAACCCATATCCATTACAAAGATCAATTTGTTGATATTATAAAAGGAAATAATTCCTGTTTATTCTGAGAATCATATGAAACCCACAAATGAAGTGAATTAATGACTGCTAAAGCAGGTGTTACGTATAGTTACCACAAGGCTTTAGAGGGTTAAGGATCCATGAACCTTAAACCCTATTTGATTGTCTCCTTTCTAGTCTTCTCTCATTTAGTTTCTTCTGCTTTGCATCTGTTTCATATCAATCGTTCGTGTTTTATTTTCACTCTCTTTCTGATTATTTACCTTTCAGCACTGTACATTATTAGTACTGACTTCAAATAAAATAAATTCAGGAAATGTTATTCAGTTTGAAAGCTTATGTGATTCAGTCTATGTTTTAAAACGCCGAAGTCCACAACACATACACCTATGTAGGACATAAACTTCTACCAGACTACACGGCGCTGCATCCCAGAAGACTCAACCTCAAATCCTACATTCACATCCTGATAACATTTTTAGCTTGCTATGAGTTTTCTGTTGATCTTGCTTTTTAATCTCGCCTGTCTCATTCATATTACTCCCCGTATAGCCTATGTAATATAAATGTATTCTCTTATTTCACTCCACGCCACTAATATTTTACCTGTAAAGTTTTCTCTAAATTTCTTGTTCGTTTCATAGCTGTTATTTTATTCACGAAAGTCGCTATTATATGGTCAGCATTCCTGACTCGTATCCGAAGGTCCTGGTTTCGATTCTCGGCTTGGATATATCGTGTACTCATTGAGGGTTTTCATGATTTACTTCAATACCTCCAAGTAAATAGTCCCTCAACACAGACACCGACAATTTTTTTTACATTCTTCAAAATTCCCCTTTGAAGTGTGAGACTGTTTAATACGTACAATTGAGGGAACGTCATTAAAGAAAGCAAGAAGGAGGGGCAATATGTACAGCAACACCTGGTCCATCCGAACATAATACAGCTGTTAGTGTATAAGATTTGGTAACTGGAATACCTACGCAAGTGTGAAATATTTTGTTAGTTATGAGCAGAGTGAAAATTTTATAGTGGTTTCGTATTTAACTGTGTGTGGTGGTTATAAGTATTTTCTTAACCCTTTCTTCCCAGAGTGTAACACATGTGTTGTAACTATCAGCAGAATACATAAGGAATTTGTGACGTATCCCACGCGACGGTAGAACGTTTACTTTAAAATTCTTGAAAGTATTGTAGTTTATTAGGATGTGTGTATAAATTTTGGGCTTACATAAATATTTGCTTTGAACACAAAATGATGACTGTGGCCACGGAATAAAAACGTTCGTTAATATATTATTACTTTGCTAGTGGTTCGCTGCGTACGAGAGTTCGTTTGGTGTAAGCAGAACGCAGAAAAGATCACGACAGTATATTAGCATTTTGCTCAAAACAAATATTGACTTTATTGTGGGACCTTTCATTGGTATTCGGGAAAGTTTATAATAGGTTTTTCCCTTTATTGATCACTAAGAGGAATTCTATTAACATGTCTCTTGTGTAATATTAAGGGTTACGTAGACATTACCAGAAATTTTACTTGTTCCTACAAACTCAATGCAAATGGCAAGATGGATAATAATTAACAAACTACTCGTTGAAAATTGTTCAGCTAACAAAGAAATCTCCCGACGTTTATGGAACCCAAAGGTTCATAGTCGTGTTCGCAGTTCCGCCATTGGTATCTGTCGTAAGCCAGATGAATCTAATCCACACCTACGCATCCACCCTCCCATCTACGCCTAAGTCTTTCTGGTGGACTCTTCTCTTCAGGTTTACCGCAGAAAATTTTGTACGCAATTTTCATCTCCCTCATGTGGACCACACGTCTCGTCCATGTTACCCTCCTTGATTTGATTACGAAGTTCCTTGTTATATTAATACAATTTTCTGACAAAACTTATTGTCATGTCAAAGACACCGCGTATCACGTATCTCAGAAAGACAGGCCATGATGACGGATGCCATCTTGCTGTCACAGGGACGTGTTCCAGTTAATGCGAATTGTATCTGCGTCGATGTTGGCTTGATATGGTGAGAGCGATTAGCAGGGAGTGAATGGAGCCTACAGAGAGCCTCTTCATAAATAAGTTAAAACTAAGGTTGGCTACAAAGTTCTCTAATGGCCCATAACAATTGTAGATTCATTATACTGTATTTATGTTGGGCATTGATCATTGTTTGAGGTATATTTGACACACACGACGTTTCGGGAATTGGTTCTACTCCCGTCTTAAAGTGAATTACTATCACTGCAATAACAGATTTCTTAAACAAGTACTTTTTTTCCACCGTAGGCTACTAATACTGAAGAGGTCCCTGTTTCGATTCAAGCAATAGTTACTAATATTAAAAATGTGAAAACTCTAAGTTTTACTAGTACATGACACAAATTTCCCAAAGACGGGAGTAGAGCCGACTCCCGAAACATCGTTTAGGCCTAAAAAATATGGTTGTCTTAGTGCAGAATCTACCGATTTGTTCCGTGTGTACACAAACATAAAGCCAAAATACCGCGATTATAAAAACTGGATACAAATTTCAAACCGCGAATACTTGAGATTCACGGATGGCGGTGATTGAAAAATTAATTATAATTTATTATTGACTGCAAATAGGTTTTTACCCGGTGGCAGTGACCTACAATAAGACACAAAACAATAAGACACATAAGAATGAGCCTGTTGTAGTTTAT